TTGTGTTTAATAAATGCAGAATTAATTTCCATATTTTCATACAGTCTGCGATTCAATGTTCAAAATTCATAAAATTTTTCTTTATTAAGAATCTCAACTTTCCATGTAATTTTCAAGAATTTATCAAAAATTTTATAATTTCGACATTTCAGATGTCAGAAGTGAAGAGAAACTTCAGATTTTTGATAATGCTGATAATTCCACATTTCAGAATTCAGAAATAAAAGGAATTTTCGCTGATTTTGGAGTATTTGTCAAAAATTATAAACTTCAACAGTTTAATATTACAAAATGGAGAGAATTTCCACAAATTTTGAAGTATTTTTCAAAAATGATAAAACCTCGACATTTTAATCTTCCAAAATGAGGAGAATTTTCGCAAATTTTTTAGTATTTTTCAAAAATGATAAAACCTCGACATTTTAATCTTCCAAAATGAGGAGAATTTTCGCAAATTTTTTAGTATAGAGAGAATTTCTACAAATTTTGAAGTATTTTTCAAAAATGATAAAACCTCGACATTTTAATCTTCCAAAATGGAGAGAATTTCCACAAATTTTGAAGTATTTTTCAAAAATGATAAAACCTCGACATTTTAATCTTCCAAAATGAGGAGAATTTTCGCAAATTTTTTAGTATAATGGGGAAAAATCGCGCGGTGCAGCCGAGATTGCGTCGCGAACAATGCTAAAAGGCACGTTTCGCGTTAATTACAAGCGTGGAAGCAAGATGTTTACGAGGCTGTCGTGAGCAATTACTGTTTAACGGGCTGAAAGAAGCGTCTCTCGCCTTGTTTGCTCGCTATTCTTATGTAACTCTTGTTTTCAAGACGCTTCCAGGTGATAGTGTCCATTTTGCGTCTAATCTTCGTGCTTTGCACATCAAACCTCCCTTTATTTATCATTTAATACAAATTATCAGCGTGCATTTAGCCACAGTCGTTCTAAAATTTAAGCTGAGAGGTCAAATAAATTGCACAACTTCGTATTCGTGACACTAAAGTGAAATTTTCATGCTGGTGACATTCGTGTTATTGAAAGTGAAAATTGTTAATTGCAAAATAAATTCAACGTTGTTAGGTAGTTACACAGAGTATTCTGAACTAATTATTTAATAAAATTAACTTACTAAAGGTGTTCCAACAAATTTCTATCTAAATTAACTTAATTCCTCAGAATTTGATAATTTGGAAATTTTAAATTGACAATTGCACGATTATACCTTTGGATTGTTGTTAAATAATTCGTCGATAGCAATCGTTCTTTCTTATTT